ATTAGTGCGAATTCTGTAACCGTGCATGCCACAATGGCCCCGATCCCAATGAAAATAATTAATATAGAAACCTGATCCGATTTAACCAGGTGCGTGAGCAGGATGAACATTCCTACAGTAGAACCTAGAACTGTAATGAAGTGGTGGAGACATGTCACGATGAAATTTTGTGCCATTTCGGTGTGAATTTTGGTCATTATTCCCAACCTGTTGTGTACCTTAATTGCCACGTGGAAGTCCAATTGTACCTCTTCATTTTTGGGGATGATCAACAGTGTCCACAAATACAGCGCCACAATTCCATACGTTGTCAGCAGTACACATATCGTGAAGGTGGATGTCATCATCATTAAGCCGATGAAAGTCTCGAGTCCAACAAGGATCCGGATTAAGTAAGATGGTAAAATTCCAGTAGATCCGATCAGCCGTTGTACCATGATTGACAAAGGATTGTGTGAGGAAAACCCGACAAAAAATAAAACTGGAGGATAAACATGGTCCAGTATGAAGGAGACGAGATTGATAGAGGACGTTACAGCCGTGTAAGACTTTTGAATTCGTTTTCTTAAAAACGAATATGTTTTGGGAAGGATGATTTCTGGAAGTATATAGATAAATAGATTTCTAAAAATGTTATTAATGTATTGGAATTATCAATGACTGGCTAATCGAGCATTTACGGGAAAACGATTATCAATAAAAAGGCAATCGCTTTTTAAACATATATCATTTAACTAAGTTAGTTGAAGTTGAATTTATTACCAAGCAGTAGATAAAATTTATCGTTTTTCAGAGATCCGACTTTGTGTTGTGTGCATTACAAAAACTACCCGTGAATTGGGTACTGCGACATAACTCTGAATAGCCTAGAATTATAAACAACGTTTCCTAAGGCTTTGAGCTTTTTCATATTTACTTACCATGCAAGGATTTCTCCAAGTTTACCATCGCCTCAAGTATATCCGCATATTTGCGTGGACCGGTTGTCTTGGCGAAAAAGTGAAACACTGGAATATTGCTGGCCACTATGAAAATGGAGATTATAGCGAAGCAGACGTCCCCAGGACTAAATTCAGTATCCGTTGAGACTAGGGCATGCAATACCGGTATTCGAATACCGGTATTCACCGGTATTACCGAATACCGAATACCGGTATTGACGAGCTCAATACCGGTATTCAAGTTAAAAATTTGACATAATGATACCGTCCTTCAGTCAAGCAAATTCAACTGGTTCAAACTAAAAAATCAAATTTTTGGCAGATAAAAATTATGGGAAATTTATCACTCACACCCAACATACATTTAACTTTATTTGTGAATATTCTAGAACATTTCCAAAAATTAGTTTCCGAATATTTTCAGAAAATACTTGAGAAATCGACGCCTCGATAACTTATAATATTAAATAAGATGTTTATTCAGGCAGATTGTGGTGTATAAAAATTTCTAAAAATCTCACAATCTGGGTAAACCGTTTAACGTGTACGAGACTCATAAAAGACCGCGTATCTGCAGAAATCATACGAAAAAATACTGAATTTTAAATAGCCGAATCATTATTGTCAGGAAGATACAAACCCCAGGAATGCTTCACGGATACCGTAATCTGATAAATCGATTCAGTCAACTAACAACTATTTTACGACTCAAGCAGAAATTTTTAATTTCTCGGAAAATATCTTTTGCTTTTTTAGTAATGTTACATATGTAGACACGAAATGTATTTTCAGATAATGTTAGAATTTTGGAGTTTTTGGAAATTTTGGCTCATGTGCTTGTTTAGTTATGTAGAAAACTTGATGAATTTGTAAAAGTTGCGACATTAGGAGCCAATATAACATGGTGCGCATATCAGATAATTAATAGTTAAAACCTACTCCAAGCAACTTTGTGGGGCCTTTTAAGATGGCATTAATGCCAGTTTGGTAGTTAATGGCAACACATTTGTTTAGAAATGACCCCCACCGGCCAACCACTTGACCGATCATGCCCATCTTCGAACTCATCCTTACTTTTGACCCTAAGATGAAGTGTGCAAAATTTCAGGTCGCTAGCTAGTGTTTAAAGAGAGTTATCGCGCGTACAGACGAACGGACACACAGACATCTTGACAAATCTATAAGGCCATCTTAAAGGGCATAAAAATTTGAACCAGTAGCTGATTTGATTTGAACCCACTTATCAGCATTTAATGCCTTGCAGAGTTTTCACTATGCATTGCTTCGTATGATCATTTTCCTTAGCTTAATACATATTTAACATATGGTGTCGGTAATACCGGTATTACCGAGGGTCCCAATACCGAAAATACCGAATTCCGGTTTTGGAAAACAATCCCGGTATTGCATACCCTAGTTGAGACAGCCATGCAGATTCCGTTCGTTAACAGAGCTGGTCCAGCAAGGAGTAGGAGAAAGTAATAAAATAGTCGGTAGTTTACATACGGACGTGACTTGCTGGTCAAAGGGATGGCGCGATCCTTTTTATAATTCCATTCAAAAAAATAGGCCAATCTAAGGGAATTTTTTTGATTTACAATAATTCTTGTACGAAGATAGGAAAGGGCTTCGTTAGTCCACATGCTTGTTATTTAAAAAGTTTTGGAAACTGGGTATGTATTTAAATCCTCAAATTATGTTTTTTTCAAAATTACACACACTTTTTATACACAGTTTTTCCAGGCGTACTCTGTTTCTGTTTGAACTGTTTGACAAATAAAAAATGTATTTAATTAAAATTAATTAATTTTGTACAAGACGCATATAATATGTCAAAGACATAATTGAAAAATTTAAGAATTCAAATTCAAATTTCAAGGATTTGCGTAATTCATTTAATTTAATTAGCCTACCCGAACCTATGTATATTACGGGTAGATTTGCTCTAATTTCTAATAGTTAATATTTGTTTTGCAACCAGTTGTATAAAATATTTGTCTAGAATTTTGATATTAAACTTTACGAGTAAACTTTTTGATACCACTCTAAATATTTAAAAATGAATAATTTTGAAGGGTTATATCAGCGTCATCGATTTTTATTAAAAAATATACTACACCAAACGCACATAGGGAAGTAGCTTCAGCGATTTATTTAAGGAGAATTGATGAATTCATTCTCGTTATCTGTAATATTCAATATCAAAATATAATAAAAATTTAACTGCACCCTCGCCATTGATTTTATTTTATCTCACCCCACCCCAGCCATTGATTTTACTTTATCTAATGTTACTCCAGCCATCCGTTTTACTTTATCTCATGTCAACCCAACCATCGAGTTTACTTTATTCCGTTTCACCCTAATCACACCAACTGCGGCACGGGAACACTTAATTTTATCTATTTCGTCTTTGGATTCAAACCAAAGATGTTTTTTTATATATATCTCGTTCTGCCCCGACCACATCGCGTGGTCCTGAAGGGGTGTGGCACAGAGGGAGAACACGTTTCATCCCGTTTCATCATGTTTCATTAATTGAATTTCTGTAAAAACTTCATTTTCCCCAGACCACACCCCCTCGCGCCGGGGGGTGTGGTTCGATTTTTCCTAAAAATTGATAGGATCCTACCCCTAGGGTCAAATGTATTATGGCGAAAATCGATTTCGATAATCTCGAGCCGTTCTCCCGTAATCCTGTTTACAAACAGACAGACAAAGTCTTCACATACATAAAGTGCATAGGTAGCTGAAGCCAGATTATAGGTTCATAAGTACTTGATCTGATATTAATTCATAATTGCGTAGCATACGGACAAGTTAAAATATTTAATAAACATGAACCAACCAGGTAGATATTTCGAAGTTGAATACCATCGTTCGTCCTGCGGTTTAATTTTTTTGATACGGTGCAAACAGTGAGCAAGTATTTAATAAACGTTCACCCTAAATTGTGGAATTTATTTTAATCAAATCTGCTTTTATTGGTAGGTACATATTTGTTGGATGAAATGAAGAATAATCAGTCAAAGCCAATATTTGAAAATTATTTGCATGCTTCTTTTGCAGGATAAAATAAATATTGATCATTACGTCTCTTGCACAATCACGGGGTCATCTAATTTTTTAAGACAGTGCAAACAATGACCAAGTATGTAATCAATGTCCCCCCTAAATTATGGAATTTATTTTAATCAAATCTGCTTTTATTGGTAGGTACATATTTGTTGGATGAAATGAAGAATAATCAGTCAAAGCCAATATTTGAAAATTATTTGCATGCCTCTTTTGCATGATAAAATATTGATCATTACGTCGCTTGCACACTCATGGGGTCATCGGAGGTGAAAATGATGGGCATTTTTGAAATCCCCGCTCCAAAATATTTTATACAGAAATACATTCAAATAGTCTTAATGGCCCGTGAAGGGATTGAACCTGCATTAATAGGAATAAACGGAGATTAGAAGCCTTACGTTAATACCACTTCGCCATACTGGCGTGAGGTGTGCAAGCGGCTCAACTTTTTTTGAGTACATAAAATTCATTAGCATAAAACACATTCATCTCATCAATAGAAATTCGAGTTTCGGAAATTCACACTTTGGTGATTATTCCCGCCAAATGTTTTGAACCAGTGAGAGTTTACTTGCTTCTAAATATCATAATGATGCCAATGTCACTACTCCGAATAATATGGCGATAGCGCTGCAAATCCAAGTCTCATTATCCATCCGTTTTATCAGTGTCTCACACCCGATAACTCGTTCTTTCAAGGTAAATGTTGCCAAATGGAAATTTTGGTATTTGATTTCATGCAAATTAACAGCTTTTCTACGCTTCTCCCGTTGGTTAAAGTGTTCCTTGAAGAACTTAAGATGAGTTATGGTCCGTATTTTTATAACTACCATTACTTGGTAAGGATTACGTCTATGGGGCCTATAATTTGTGAAGTGGAGCATAACCCTAACCACATTGTATGCACAGAGTTTCTGTTGGACATTTTCTTAAAACTATCCCAGATTTCCATTACAATATTTTGCATCAAGTTGATAGAGATATTGCGAAGAAGCCAATTCTTGAACGTTTTTATTCAATAGAAACCAACTTATATATCTATGAGGATGAGGAATATTAGATAGGTGTGACGATTTATGAAATTTTATGTTTTCGATTTTCAAAGTTTGACAGGTTTGTTAGTAAATCAGTTAAATATGTTATAAATTAATTTTGTAAATGCACATTATGTATATACATTTATGAAGGTATAAGTATGCGAATTAAGTTAGTAAGTTATTGCATATATCTGAGGATGAGTGATTATTTCGTAAACTAAACACAAATCATTTTCTGCTAATTTTAAATTTTAATTAAAAATTTTAATTTTAAATAAGACGTAGAAAATCCAAGCAATTTTACGGGCACGTATCCAAGGTAATAATTATTAGAAGTGAAATATCTTTGCTTCTGCTTCAATCGCCTTGTGGATCCGACGTGCAGAACATAACTTCCCCGTATATGAACCAGTACCCGTTTTGCGTCAAAGTTTGCGGCTTCGTGATCAGAGAGCATTTTACAACACCAAAACCTGAGTCGGCATTATTCCAATCAGCTGGCGGGACATAGTCCGAGTCCAAAATATATCGTCTATCGAGCCGACCACCGGGCAGTAATTTGAAGCAAAAATGAGCTTTGGACTGTGGATCGTGGGTAGCGGAATATCCCGCAGCAACTGCACACTCATCTCCGATCGAGTAGGGGTCATCGTAGTTGGAGTCAAATTCGAAAGGAAAATTTCTGCAAGAGTTTAAACACTGTTAGACATTTACAAATTTTGGTTATATATTTTTAAATGCCTAAAATCAAAATAGAGCTAATCTGTATTATAATGCGGAATGGCTCACGGTATCGAAAATGAAAAGAATTTGTCCATAACAGAAATGAAAATTAGGAAGATGAAAAAATGATGCTTGGGAACTTGGGAGTAAGTCGATACAACCTTTCGACGAGAACCCCAGGACATTAATTCGTCACCAGCTGTGATGGCGTTTATCACCAATCCGGTAGGGTCACATAAATATGTATGATCATAATTTATAAATTTCGAAGTGTATTGAACATACCCATTGTCCTTGTCCGGATCCAAAAATGCGTAGCCGACATCTTGGGCCACAACAGTGCAAGGAATATCATTACTACTATCCACGAGCACATAACACATTGGGTTATAGTCGACGTTTTCAATTGAAGCTATTGCTCCTAAGATGGGGGAAACGACATTGTTAAGAAATTCCGATGCTTTATTGGCAGCTTCACCGTCATCCATTAGCAAAATGTATGATAACATATCGGCCACAAGGAAAGGTTGGGGTTTGTTGTATAAGTGGTTGTTAAGGACGATCGAATGGTAAAGGTTTCTGCATCCGTCAAATTTCTGGAAATTATTTGAAATAAGTTACACACTCATAGAATAAATTTTAAAAATTCACCAAATTACATGTATTTCTTCCAACAAACCGAGAAATTTCATTATTTTCAGGATAAAGGTATTGTCCTTAAGGACTTCGACGTAGGCAAGTGATATGATTGAAGACATCACCGTGCTCCTCTTAGCCTTGAAGGATCCCTGCTCAAAAAGGTACGCAGTTCCGCTGTCCGGACCACGGACGATTTCGTGCATAATGTTGGTAATCTTGTAATCCTCGAGGTCCTTTTCTAAATTGGCCACGGTCATTTTTAGCTTGTAGGCGGATGCAGTAATGGTCTGAATGGAGGAGAGTAACATTTTTATCTCGGTCTTGAATGTACCTTCGGCTATGGGAATAAATTACATTGACTAAAATCTGGTAAAATGATTACTTCAGTTTGACTAAAATCATTAGCACCACACATTTCTTAAAATGTACTTAAATTATCAAAGTTCGGGAGAATTCTTAATTGGCAATTAAGAAGTTATATCAAGAAGTAAGTTTGTCAGTTTGCTTAAATTTAAATTATTACCAGCTTGAATCAAATTGTCCATTTTTGTCGTAAGTTGAGAAATTTCATCCTGCACAAGTGCCATTTCAGCTTCAACTTTGTCGACATCGCCGGTAGGGTCAATTTGTGCTATTTTCTTTTCCAGGTCATCAATTTCTTTTTTAAGGGCATTAATTTCTTTCTGGACGCTGTCAGGATTTGGAGGATTGAAGCCACCAACAAGAGATCTAAAGATAGGAATAATAATTTAGTATATTAAAAAATCGTGGGACTTAAAAAAGTTAAGCAAAAGACTTATTTTCAATCTCACAAGGTATGCTCACGAATTGTCGTTTTAGTCTACCATGTTGTTTAGAATCTGCTGGGAACCAGATGAAGGATCCCATCATACTTCCGTGTAAAACTCATGTTTGGCGCCAAACTTAAAATTCTGCATTGCAATCGACCAACTTCAAATCCTCATTACTTTTTGCAATTTACGATGGATTTTCAAAATTTATGCTCAAAATGACCACAAATGTCGAAAATTTAGGGAAACATAATAAGAAACAAGTCTTAACGAATTTTTCAAGGAACCCCAATGTATACAAAAATTGCAAAATTTCGCAAAAGATTAAAGCACTCAATTTTTCAAAAATGCCATTACACACGAAAGTCTAACTCGTTAACATGATTTTCCTAAAAAATTTTGAAAATCCGACCAGGATTTCAAAAATTAAGGCGGTTTTAAAATTAAAAACCTACTCCAAGCAACTTTGCGGGGCCTTTTAAGATAGCATTAATGCCATCTTGGTAGTTAATGACAACACATTTGGGTGGAAAAGACCCCCACCGGCCAACCACTTGACCGATCATGCCCATCTTTGAACTCATCCTTACGTTTGACCCGAAGATCAAGTGTACAAAATTTCAAGTCGATAGAATGTGTTTAAAGAGAGTTATCGTGCGTACAGACAGACGGACGGACAGACAGACATCCTGACAAATCTATAAGGCCATCTTAAAAGGCCTAAAACAGTTAAATTTGGCGAATGTAACGCCACACCACGGCGCCAAACATGACTTTTACACGTAAATTTGAATGGATCCTACATCTGGGGTCCTAGTAGATTCTTAAAAATATGGCGATTAACCTTAACTCAAACAACAGATCGTGAGTATACCTTGTAAGAATTTGCATCAACAAAATATATAATATGATTGGATTAAGCATTCAAGCTCTGTAAAAATAGTTAGATTAAGTTATGCATTTTTTAAATCTTGCCTGCCATTCATCACGTAGTCCAGATTGTTTTTCATGGTGGACACGGAATCGGATAATTGCCCCAAGGCGAGGTTAACTTGAATTTCAAATTCTTCACAGTAAGTTTCGTTGAGGGGAAAGTTTTGTTTACACATTGCCCAAGATCGACGTCCGAGTTCATTGCTATTAAAAAAAATTTTAAATATTATAAATTTAAATTTTGCACACCTCAAAATTTTGAACTAAAAGAAAATAAAGCGTATCTAAATACGCCCGTAACAGGAACGAAATTAAGTATACTTTGAAATTAAAATCGTCAAATTACCTCGGAAGTAGTTTTAAATTCGTGACCGAAATAGAAAGTAAACTAGATGCGATCGCATTTAAATAGAAAGTAGCGAAACCTCCCCACATTTTGTTTCCTGGAAATTACTCAAAAATAATATTTGATGTATTCCTTATCTGAATTGTATTGTTGGAGCACAAAATCCAAGACGTCAATTCCAGCACTAAATCTGGTTCTAGGAGAAACAACCTTTAAATTGGAATAATTATGCAGACACATCAATTTCAGTTGGGTCAATAAACATATTAATAATGTGTTCTTATTTATTTCCTGGCTTGAAAGAAGGCGAGATATTGAATGTGTTTGTGTGAAACAAAGTTGAAAATAACAACATGTCTTAATTCATGTTGGAATGAGATTATATTTATTATTGGGAAAAGAATGAATGGGTGTCGCTTCGTACAAAAATGAATGCATAATAAAGTATATTCATATGTGTGCTAATTAAGATGGCCAATTAACGAGTGCTTTATGCATTTATGTAAGCTAAATGTGAAGTCATCATTTACATACATCTCACAGTTCATTTGATAATGAGGACGATCCTCGATCAAAGGAGTGTTTTATTATATGTATGGTTTATTCATTTAGTTATGCATTATTAGTGTTTTATTTATGTGCAGATACATATTTAACATGGAGGATCATTGCACTTTGCACGATGAATTAATAAATCTGTTTGCACACACGGTTTGTGCAAAAGCAGCAAAACTTTAAATTATGTCGTGGTATTATTATTGCAACCTTTGTAATTCAGAATAGTATAGGTAGAATATTTAGTATGTACTGTTTTACTATCCTATCCACATACACTTTGATTGCATGGCAGTATCTGAAGAAAAACGAAAAAAACATAACTTTAAACAGATTTATGTATTAATTCATCGTACAAAGTCCAATGATCCTTCATGTTAAATATTTATGTGCAAATAAATAAAACACTCCTTTGATCGAGGATCGTCCTCATTATCAAATGAACTGTGAGATTTATGTAAATGATGACTTCACATTTAGCTTGCATAAATACATAAAGCACTCGCTAATTCGCCAGCCTAATTAGCACACGTATTTGCATACTTATGCATTCATTTTTGTATGTAGTGACATCCATTCATTATTTTCCTCACACTCCAACATGAATTAAGTCGTCTTAATGCAGGGTCCCGTCTTAGGTGTATGTAGCCGGGGCAAAGGGCGCCAGTTTTTTGAAGGGCGCCCCTATACCCTAGATAAAAACCAAGTTGCGGGATTTCATACTTTATCGTGGAAAATAACTTAAAGTACAGACTTTCGCTCTTTTAACTTGAACATCCTGTTAGATAAAGTTTTCATTTACATAATAAACAGGGGTGGGCAAGATACTTGGTCAAGATAAAAGATACAAGATACAAGATAGTATCTTTATCTTGTATCTTCGTCGCCTGAACAGAGAAGTATCTTGTATCTTGTATCTTCTATCTTTTAGAAAGTCGAAAGTATCTTGTGTAAGTATCTTATCTAGATATGCATGGCAGAAAAGTATCTTAAGATACTTTTGACAAGATACAAGATACTTTTTCTCAAAATTCCGTCAAATTACGTCAATTTCTTACTAAAGTCAGTCAATTTGACCATGAATTTGTCGTAACCAGAATTTGGTGAATTTTTAGTTTATGTTTTGCCAATTCGTAACAAACTTGTACATATATGCACATATATATATATATATGTACATGTGTACTCGTACATACATACTGATACATACGTTGCACATTACATCTACGCTGAACTAATGTATAGATCTTATAGGGTTTAGTTTGAATAAGCAGGGAATATTGTAAAAATAATACCAGCTTCTTAAGAATATATGTATGCTAGGTAGAGTTCTAGTTTTTCGAAATTTAGACCTTTTTCGATGTATAAGCACTGGCAACAAAATTTGTAAAATGATTCTAGAATGATTTTAAATTTTGTACTCACTAGATTTTTTCGGTTAAATGATTAAACATGACTAATTGGGCATGAATACCAAGCTAAAAAAGAAAGTATCTTATCTAGTATAAAAGTATCTTAAGATACATATCTTGTATCTTGTATCTTGACTACTCAATTTTTAGAAAAGTATCTTGTATCTTGTATCTTGTGTACTTAAACAAGATGTATCTTTTATCTTGTATCTTATATCTTGTCTTAGAGAGTATCTTATCTTGTATCTTGTATCTTACGACCAAAGTATCTTGCCCACCCCTGATAATAAACTACAATTTCTTCGTAACGCAGTGTTACTAACACTTACAATGCAAAACTGTGAGGGGGTTATCACCAATTTTGGCGGGACCAGATTTAGATTTTTCATGCTCGTAAATAAGCGTACATATGTATATATATACTTTTGCGTTTGCTTGAATGTGATTTTTTCCTGTGTGGCAGAATTTTTTGGTACTTTTATAGACAAAATCAACGACACCAAATTTGCATAGAAAATGTCAGCATTGAGTGTAAAATCAACACCACGCCGACCAAGTGGACGGGGTCAAAGGTGTAAAAAGTCAATTCTGCCATGTGGGTGCAGGCCCCGATTTAGGGGCGGACAACCCGGGCAGCTGCCCGGGGCGCAAAACGCCTGAGGGGCGCCGGGAGGCGCCCGGGTTTACACTAGATATAATTGCGTTTTCCTGTTGTAAATTTTGACAATTTTTTGCTTGTGTGCGAGTTTATATTTTTATCAACTTTGGACAACATTATTCCATCCCGAGAGAAAATTGTATGTCGAGTTTGTCATAATTTTCCACAAATGGCCGGCACAATGGTTTGTGAAGAAAAAGTATGAACGATTCAGCATAAAACTTCTGACAGGTATAATCTGCAGAAATATTTAGCACAAATGCATAATTCTGCATAGTTTGTGCACAAATTGTATTGGCATAAATACTTCATAAAATCCAGCCAATTCTCTGCATAAAACCCAGTCAAATTTCTGCATAAAATCCCTTAAGTTTTCACTCGGGATGGTTGTGAAAAATTATCCAACGTTGAATAAATGGTTGAACAAATTTCACCCAATTGTTGTGTTGTGTTAACCTCTATTTCGCTCAACATGTAAATTCTCTAAAACTTAAATTTAAAATAATATGCCTCGCAATACAATTGGAGTTTACGCTAGGGAGCAAAATAAATTGTATGATATAAAAACTGTTCTATCTCACATTTTTGCATAGAATCTTGAAAGCTTGCATGATGGTAGCCCAGAAAAATTGTGGCTGTATGTATATCATTCTGATTTTTGAGAAATATCAAAGAGGACTCACTATGCAAGTAAATCTCAAATCCCCATGCGACCAATTTCATATCCTTCACCACAAAAAATAAGCATTACCGTACTATTTCGTTTTGTATAATGTGCTACTGTGAGCTATTGGCGCGAATTGTAAACTGTTTCGCAATCGAAACCTCGGTTTTTAAAATTGTCGAATTTTAGCGCGAATCCAAAAAATTCGAAAACATGTTTCACCAGAATGGCTTACAAATCTGAAGTTCAGATTACTTTGCTGGTATTTGGAAGCCATTAAAATTATAAACTCGTTCAAATTTTGGAACAATATTGCATGTGGAATTTTTCTAAGTGAAATAAGGCATTCTGAAGAGACATGTTTTCGAATTTTCGGATACGACCTAAAATTATAAAATTTGCAGAATTTTATAAAACCAAGGCTTTTGTTGGAAAACAACTTGAAATTCGAGCTTAGCGATCAAATTACCGAATTATGCAAAAAATACGGGGCGCTTTTATTTTTTGTTGTGAATAAAGTAAAATTGGTCGTATAGAGATCTGGGTTTTACGTACACGTAAATGATCTGCATTGTCAGTTTTTTGACGACATATTTACGATTTCGGCCTCGATCCTCGAGTTTGACCCTAATTTTATCAATAATCACGAATAAATATGTAAAAGAAATTAGTATCTAAAAAGGTAAAATTTAGTTTCACCTACTTAAACGCTATTTAAATCACCGTAATCTAGAAAAAATGTCTGGAGTTGTTAATTTTCGAAATTTAGACTTAATAAACCGTAATAACGTTTTGCAGCCGAAATGGTTAAAATTGGGACTAAATTTTGACAAGATTTCAAGGTTAAGTTTTGTCAGCCAGGGCTAACTAGAACTTTCATTTAATCCTGACCATTGGTATAGAATACATCGATTCCTCCAATTATTTCGCACCATTTTGCGTTAACGATTGTTTGATACCAATTATGCTACAAATTAATATTAAAATGGCCTTGGGACTCATTAATTAGCATCAATTGATGCAAAAAAACTCATGAACACACAGACAGACAGACGGACAAGAGGAATTCCATAGCTCTCATGCTACGCAGGGTGAGCTAATAACGGCAATGTTGAACTTTTCAAAATTCAATTCATTCAAAAATTCCCGACTTGGCCCAAAAAAATCGTAGGGAAGTATACAAGGTATGAAACTGTTAAGGATCGGTTAGGGCTTTAACTCAAAATAAAACCGCGGAGGGCCAAACGTACATATGTACGAGTAAATAAGCTTCTAACCTTTTAAAACGTGTGTATAATGACATGACCAAGGCGTTACCGCGGGAGATTAACTGTGATTATTGGGTTATGATTAGGGAGTCATTTTCCAAAGAGAAAATCTAGTTTCGTGAAAGGAGGGACGCTAAATAGACGGTTACTGTGGGAAGGGTTTTTTGAGTATTTTATAATAAATTTTTGCTCATTTAAACTCTTTTCAATGTGATGGTAAAAATTTCAATACGTTCACAATTTTGCATTCGAGTGTTTTTTTGTGCAAATTTGATCAAATAACTAAATTTTTTTATGATATAAAATATTATTATCTGTTATGAAGAGCGAAAAAAATATTTTTTAACGAGGTCTATTGACCTCCTCCGGCAGTAGAGAAAAAATTTGGGTGGAGGCTAAAAGACCTCCTCCCGCACCATAGCAACAAATTCGTGGAGGTTTATTGACCTCCTCCCGCAGTAAGCCCGACAATTTTAGGAGGCTGAAAGACTTCCTTCCGCAGCAACGCAATGTTTCCAAGGAGGCCAAAAAGCCTCCATACGTTTTAAAAGGTTAAGTTAAATAAGCTTTTAAGTTAAATCTGTGGTATACAAATATTGATCTGGCCAATATTACGCAAATTTTAAGCTATTACACGTTAAA